AGCTTTCGAATCCAAAGAAAGCTCCAGGTGCAGCATGGGAAATGCTTAGCTGGGTCTTCAACGCAATAGCGGGTGGGTCACCTGCTTCCGACTCCAAGGGCAAGGGATCAGTTTGAACGGCTTCGTCCTTGGATTCCACCACCGGCACAGGTCCTTTTTCTTCTGCCGATTCCACAGGCGTTTCCTCAATTGTTGGATCTTCAATAGATGGTTCTTCGAAAGATAACTCTTCGAGTGGCTGCTCTTCTGTAGTGGCCCCTTCAACCTGACCAGCTTCCTCCAGCTTCTTACGTTCTTCCTCTTGCTTCTTCAACTCCTCTTGTTTCAGACGTTCTTCCTCCTGTTTCTTGAGCTCCTCTTCCGTTGGAGTGGGAGTTGAAAAATCGGTGGAGTGAGTATATCTGAAAGATATCGATCGCTTCTTCAGGTCAAAGAGATACTCCTCCCGGGATCTGGGACTCATGTTGTCAGTGCGACACAACCGGCATCTCCTGATCAGCTTCATTTGATGGTCCCTTTCCTTCAGCTTCGCTATTATAACGTCATACTGTTCTTTGTAGAAGTCATGATCCGATACCATCCTGAACAGTTGATCCTTTGTCATCTCCAGCTCATTTCTAAGACGTTTGGTTTCTTCTTCGGTGGCCTTAAGCTTCGGTTCAGCCCGCACAAGCACCTGAAGAACAAATCAAACCTCACTCACGCTTTCTCAAAACAAATGAGATGATACCTGGTTAAAGATGCGAAGAAGCTGTCTCCACACATGCAACAGGAGATTTCCTCGTTCTTCGCAATGAATATCAACCTGTCGATGTAACCTGAAGGGCATCACTTAACAAGAGAAGCTCTAGAACAGAACAAAAAAAATAAACAGGTAAGTTTTTTCACCTGACGAACAATCTCTAAGAAAGCAATCGAGTGAAGAACAAAGGCCGCTTCAACATTTTCGAACCGTCCATCAACTTTCTCACAACGATTCTTGCGCATCGCATGCTGCAGCCACTCTCCAAGCAGCTGAACATCCTCTCTTTTACCTGGCTGCACTTCAAAAACATTAAAAAAAGAGTCGAAAAAAAATATAATAAGTAAAAGTACCTGAAGAGCAGGAAAAACAACTGTATACCATCGTTTATCATACGGACTATATGCGAACTTGCACTCAGGTTTGCCTAAGAGTTCTGGCTGCCACATACATCAAATCGTTATTGCAGATTACAAAAAAATCCTGCTTATTGACAATGCGTACCTGGACAACGTACTTGTTGACAACATAGTCCTCCATGGGAATAAACGAAGGAAGAGTCTGCTTCTCATCTGGTGGTACTGCATCTTTCACTTGACCGGAGTTTTCACAGGAAGGCATTGGACAAGGAGTTTCAGGTTGTAATCTGGAAGCAGCATTCGACTCAGGATGAAGGTTTTCTGCTTTGTTGCTCAGATCATCCGGACTCGAGGCTTTAGATTGCAGCTTGACAGTGTTCTCGTCCGCATTCTTGAGTGGCTCAGCAGACTGGAACTTCTCTGGATTTGTGCATTCGATAAATCGGACAATCAGCTCCCTTACTTTCTCTAGCAACGCCCGGTCCTTGACAAGAAAATCTGCTTGCGGGGGAACTCTGTTCACTCTAGCTTCCATGGCTTCCCATTCACTCTTCACCTCACGTACATGCTCAGCTGCGAGTTGAGGATTTGATTCCATCTGCCAGAAACATTCATGCCTTCAGACGAGAAAAAGAAATCAAAAAACACAAGTACCTGCGCAAACATTTCGCGGATTTCATCGTCTTTCAGCCCAATCGCCTGAAGCAGCCACTGTTTAGCACTGATCGGAACAGTCACAGACGCCACAGTCCCTGCCTTGTTCTTTTTGGTGTTCTTCTTCTTAGTATCAAAAACACAGTCTGGAGGTCGTAAGTGAGGAACAGCTCGTTCACCACCCCTCGATGCCCCTGCAAGCTTGGTGAGATAATCCGGAACTTTCATAAGCAAGCCTTTCTTGCAGAATGTATCACTGATCGGAGCTGCTTCCTCCTCCCCTGTTCTTCCCCGTCTAAGATCATCACCAGGAACTCTGGGAGTTCTGACCGCAGCACAAGCCTGTAGCCTGTCATTCACAATCTCTGCAATGTCCGCCGCTTTCGAATCTCCACAACAATGCACCTTCCTAAACCCTTTCCTGTCTTCCTGCGTGTGATCCTTCCGTTGAAAACCAGTGAAGTCGTACAAATTGGGAGACGCTCTGTGCGACGAAACCCTACTCACATCGGTCACCGTCGTAGCTCCTCCCCGCGTACTGAGCTTGTACACATCCTGGGAGGAAGATCTAGAGGATGCTTCACTCACCTCAGCAGCTCGCCTGGAAGGAGAAGGCGATCGATTGGCCAGCCTAGCTTCCTCGCTACAGCGCTTGAGCTTTGGTCCGCGGTTTGATGATGACTGATTGCCGCCCTTGTGCGCGGGAACCTGTCCAGCAGCATTTTAGGGTTTAAGGGGATACAATGCCCTAACGAACTACACCCCCTTGTCGGCTGAAGACCTCAAAAACCGTTATCAACGGTCATATGGTGATTTAATAGTATTAAAAACAGAAAAAGGAAAAGAAAAAAAGATCAGCTGACTGAGTGTTGAATTTTGCGGGGATGTCTGAGCTTCCCACCATGAATGATCCTTGTTTTGCATGTCCGGAACCTTGGCTGGGCAACTTTGAAATCCTCAAATCGCGTTTTGCAGCCACAGAATTATATGATATGATTGCGAGGATCCGCTACTGTTGCTGCCGCTAATTCACTCGAAACAGCAGCAGATGGATCGCTGTCAATGTTCGACCCTTATCCTTGACGATCAACAACGCTGTTGGCCATCCTCGAAGACAACTGTTCAGTCGTCTTCAAAGCCCCACTGGATTCATCATCGCCCGCTGCTCTTCGCCTAGATTCTTATTCATCACGCCTGGATTGCTGCTGATCTTGGGTTCCCTCAAAGTGATCGCCTCTTACTTCCACCACAATTCCTGCCGATGCATGGGTTTCACCGTTTCAGCCTCTTGAACCTGGGTGGGCTGATCGTCGAGGTCGAATGATCCCGATCCCATGGCCTATACCACACCGTGGAAGATTGAAGTGCTCAAAACCCGGCTTTGATTCAAACACGCCGCTCGTTTCTTGGATTCCATATAGCTTTTAAAAGACGGAAACCATTTCTCCTCCCTCACTATCATAGTTGCACCTTGTCTGCAGACGGCTGCGGACGCGGACATCGCAAACGCGTCCGCAGACGTCCGCAAAATGCCGCGGACGAGTTTGCGTGTTTTACCCTATTTTTAATTTTTTTAATTTTTTTAAAAAATTCCGAAAAAACATTCTGAGACAATAAAAAAAACACAGGAACAGAACACATTAAAACATTAATAAAATGTTGTCAAACTCCTCATGTTCTCAAAAACCTCCTTGTCTTCCTCGTTGTCCTCAATTTCTTCTTCCATTTCTTCATTGGCATCCATGGGTTCTTCATCATCCACAGTGTTAGAAGAGAACGGCCTCATTGCTTCTAACTCCTTCAACCTCTTGGCTGCTCCTTGAAATGTACCAGAACAATACTTACATTGCCATTTTTTGATCCTAGTGGTTGGGTCAATGCCAATCACTACCACATGCTCCCACTCTGCATCGGCCATCTCTACAATACCCACTCCAACACCCACCTGATCTCTGTTGTCAAACGAGGAATAGGGTTACAGAGGGTTTTTTTTTAATTTTTTTAATCCGTGAACGGGCAGACGCGTCTGCGGACGCGTTTCGCGGACGCGTCCGCAGACATCCGCAAAACAGCGTGGACGAGTCTGCGTGCAACTATGCTCACTATGATTCCCGACCATCGCCCGACTGAGCAACAAGAGGAACCATGATCAAGTACTGATCACAAACAAAACCTAGCTTTCCAGAAAATGCATACCGGTTATATATACTCTGGGAAGACGGATAAGTCAGAAGCAAGGAACGCGCTCCCTTCGCAGCTACAAGAAAGGAAAAACCTAGGGAAAAGGAGCAAAATCACTACAACGTATACATTGCAAGGGATGAAACTGCAGATAGCGATGATCACTTCTTGCTTGTCTGTGGCTTCTCTCCGAGTTCGTTGAATGAAATTTAGTTAATAAAACGTAAATTAAGTCAAATGATAGGGTTTTAAGTTATTTGTAAGGGTCGTACATGCCACGTGTTGTATGTACACGTGGCATTTTTACATGTGGCTGGCCGGGATCTGAATGCTAAGGTTTGAGTAGAGGTCTTCAAGCTTTCCTAATTTATTTTGTTATACAATTTGTTTATTGAATTGAGTTAATGAAGTTGAAGCTGACGTCAGTGTTAGTCTAATTAATAACCATTACGAAGCTAGTTAATTCATCTTGATTCTTGAAAAGTGAGTGTTTAAATAACGAGCACAATTGACTTTTGATTTGCAATGCTACTAAAATGATTAACAAGCCATTTCCAGTGTGGTGGATGCACTCCCCATTCTTGCTCGCAACATGGAAAGCCCGAGCAACATCGTTCTGATTCTTGCAAGCAGCTAACAAATTTCCAAGTTACGCCCCATCAACTCTTAAGCTTGAAACATGATGTTCCAAGACACTGCGTCACAATCTGGCACTTCTGAAACACTAGAAACAATGTGTGACCGATCTCATCGCTGTAAGAAAACACCATAAGAGCACCGTTCCACGAACGATCATCCCACTTAAGCATGCGGTCGAAAGTAAAGATTTGCGTTCTGCAGATTCCGATTCGATACTGCAAGACTTCGTACCGGCACCATCTTAAACAAAATCGTTGCTTCAACCCTTCGGTTCTTGCAAACTGCCTGCAAGATCTTGTTCCAACCAACATCATCCTCTCTTTTACTTGGCTGCACTTAAAAAACATATATAAAAAGAGTCGAATATATATATATATATATATAACCACCAACAGTAAGGTGGTATCGACCACTTAAAATAAAAATCAATCAGCGTCGAAGCACACTAAAGCCACTTCTACCGAGTCGCAGGCAAGTTTGTGGGCATTATCACGCAGATATAGGGAGGCAGCACAAACGAATCTTTCGCTTGCTCGTATCAGTTTTACAAGGACCTGATCACAAGAAGCAGATGAAGAAGATGTCACATTGTCTGAGCTTTTATCACAGATTAAGATTCACAGACTTCAGCTCTTTCAGCAAGCCATCGTTGATCACACCTTGCCCATGAGCGCGAGAAGGGCAGGCAGCTCCTGAAGCCTGTAAAGAACCTGTCGCATGGTAGGCCTTGAAGAGGGATCCTCACTCAAACATTCGTCCTGCAACTGTAGCAACCCACCATCACATCGCACCTTGCTGGTTGCAATCAGATGGCCAATACTCCACACATCTACTGGATAGCCATGTTCCCCAGTTCTCATCTCAGGTGCATGCGCATCTTCACAAAGCAAATGCGGCTCCATGCATGGAACCATAGCAGCTTCATCGAAGTCGATCAGATACCAGTCACCGCCAAACTTGCCAATATTTCTCCAGTGGACATCCCTATGAACCCAGCCCCGATTGTGAAGCTCGTTCAGCGTTTTTGCTACTTGAACAAGAGCCGGCAACAAATTGTTCAGTGGCCTGGCTCTCTGACGAAACGTCACCCGGGGTACGAAAGTTAAACTGTAGTCCAAACTCCTGTTTCGCTTCCGAGCCTGAATGATTCTCTGGGTTGTACAGATCTCAACTCGAGGAACATCCTTGATAGCCTCGTAGATGTTGAAGACTGTACAATACGTATCATAATCCTTATACGTCTTGACGACATTCTTCGCCTGAAGCTGCACGGTTTTGTCTCCGGATGTTGTTGCTGGTAAATAATCTGCCTCGACGTCGTACTCAATGCAGAGCCTGCTTAAAACGGGGAACAACCTGGCTATGTTGAAGAGGACGACGAGAAGCCGGATACGATCGCGTAGTTGAAACAGGTCAAGGGTTACCAGCTGTTTAGTCAAGACCTCCCGCGTCGACGGGTCCCTTGAATGAAGTGCCACAAACGTAACGCTACCACCAATTGCTGAATAAGCCAACAGGTAGGGAACGCCTCCGTACCTCCACTCTGTCTTGTCCCTGAGCTCTTGAAGTGGTATGGCAGCAGAAATACCAGGCCTCTTCTCTTCGGCCCGTCCCACTGGGAT